GAGAATACTTGCAGCTCAAATCCCCAGCATCCACATAAAGAGATGGGCGTGGCTACCTGCCCACCTGTAACCTGATGCTGTGGGGAGCAGAGACAGGAGACTGTCTGGGTTTGTAGCTGCCAGTTTAGCTCTAGGTTCAGGGAGACCCTGTCTCATGGGAATAAGGTGGAGAGTGATGGTGCACTCAGCACCCTCCGCTGGCTTCCATGTACACGTATGGGTGCACCCCGCCATGTGCTCACCCCACGTGCTCACATGCCATACAAACAGCCATTTCACTAACATATAGATTTAGGGGTACCTAGCTTATTTCAAGACAGGCCTTTTATCAGGCAAATTGTGACCAGGGCAAGTGATGGTTAAGAATGAGAAATGGTGATTTTCATTCTTGGATGTGGGCCTAAGCACTGAACTGTTTTTTTTTTTTTTTCTGAGTATTTTAATGTGGTGTTTTGAAGCTCAAGCAGCCTGTTGGTCTGTTTTCTTGGCTCCATTTGTTTGTTTGGCTGGTTTGAGTTAGTAATGAGAATGCATATGGCAGGGGACACTCATGACATCAGTCCTGGCAGAACTGCCGGAGTTCTGCCAAGTCCCACTGACTTGCCCCGGGACTTGAAAAACCAAAATTGCAAAATACCTAGAGTGGAGGGCTTGCTGGCCGGTGTGAAGTTGGGAGGAAGTCTGTTCCGGTGCCAAAGGCGACAGCATTCTGGCAAGAAGCTGCTTAATTCGATCGCAAGGACAACTTCAGTGGGGTTCAAACCCAGGCCACGCTTCATTAGATTCTCTGGGAAGAGGGGTCACAAATCAGATGTCGGGCAGGTAGAGAAGGGCGGTCCGCTTCCCAGATGGAGGGCTGCCTACCTCATCTTTGGGGGAGGGGCTGCCCCCTCCCCGTGTGCTGCCCGTTCCTGAACGGAAGGAAGGGCGAAGTCTCCAAAGCAATGTGAGTTTTCAAATGAAACTGAACATAAGGGTGTTTACATACTGACATCTTCTTTTGAAGTGTTGCCATTTAATCAGAATTTAAAGTTTTATTTATTAATCTTATTTTATGTGTACATATGTGCTCCATGTGCACGCAGGAGTCTGTGGAGGCCAGAAGGGGGCATTAGATCCCCTGGAACTGGATTCTAGGTAGTAATGAGCCACCTCAGCTGGGTGCTAGGAACCAAACCCAGGTTCTCTGCAAGAACAGCAAGTGCTCTTAACCACTGACTCATCTCCAGCTCCTCAGCAGAATTTGAAATGCAATGACCTACAGCAATTTAAGGGGGCAAATTATTTGCAAATCATACACTTGATAAGAGATTTGCATCTAGAATATATAAAGAATGCTTATAGTTCAACAATACTGACAACAATAACAATGATAAACAACCTGAATTTAAAATTGGAGAAGGGTCCGAAAAGACACATCATCCTGTTGAGACACACAAATGTAATAAGAACATGAAGAAAAAAAAAAAAAAGCTAACTGTCATTAGTGTCAGGAGAATAGAGACCCAAACCACAGTGAGATTCTACTTCCTACCCACCAGGATGGCTAGAAAAGAAAGAAGACAGTAAGTGTGGTGAGGATAGTGACTGGGCCCTCGCAGTGGTGCTGGGAACGGGAAATGACCCCAGTCAGTCATCCTTGAAAACACAGTAGCAGTTCCTCAAAGGGGTAAATGGAATGGTTGTGTGATGAACTCTTTACCTCCTAGCTACCTACTCAAAACAAGCAAATATATGTGCAAATGAAAGGCTGTAAATGAACTTCAATACTAGCATTGCTCATTGTAGTAGTTACTTCTCCATTGCTGTGATAAAACATCATGGCCGAGGCAATTCATAGAAGAAAGAGTTTGTTTGGGCTGAGGGTACCAGACAGATTGATGTCCATCATGGCTGGGAAGTGGCAGGCACAATGGCTGGAGGAGCAAGCAGAGAGCTCATAAACTGCACGCAGGAAGCAGGGGGAAGGTGCTGGCAACGGTGTGAGGCTTTGGAATCTTAAAGCCTGCCCCCAGTGACATTTCCTTATCTAAACAGCTCCACCAACTGGGTACTGAAGCATTCAAACATCTGAGCTTACAGGGAACATGTTCATTCAAACCTCTATGTTCATGTACCCCCGAAGTGGGAACATCACTTATGTTCAGTCACTGGTGAAAGGTAATCCTCCACTACGTGGGATATTATTAGTGCATTTGGAAATAAAAAGGAATCAAGTACCGGTACATGCTACAACATGGATAAACTTTAAAATGCCATTTTAGGGTGTTCCCAAGCACCTGAAAATCCAGCTCCAGGGGATCTGATGCCCTCTTCTGGCTTTCAAGGGCACTTGCACTCACATATACATATCCCCACACAGACACAATACAAGCAATTAAAAATAAAAAACAAAGCTGGGAGGCTGTGAGAGATGGCTCAGTGGTTAAGAGCACTGATTGCTTTTCCAGAGGACCCAGGTTCAATTCTCAGCACCCACATGGCAGCTCACAACTGTCTGTAATGCCAAGATCTGACACCCTCACACAGACATACGTGGAGACAAAATGCCAATGCACATAAAATAAAAATCATAAAATTATTAAAAAAAAACAAAGCTGGGTTTGGTGGCATGCACTTTTAATCCCAGTGCTTGGGAAGAAGAGGCAGGTGCATCTCTGAGTTTGAGGCCAGCCTGGTCTACAGAGTAGTTCTAGGACAACCAGGGCTACACAGAGAAACCCTGTCTTGAGAAACGAAACAACAAACAAAACCCCCAAAACAAAACAGCAGCAACAGCAGCAATAGCAGCAACAATAAAAACCATAAAAACCAAACCAAAACCCCAAAATCTTAAAAATGACATTAAGTGAAAAGGGCCAGTCAAAAACTCCGATATCCAATATCATTTATATACAATTTCTAGAAGAGACAAGTTTACTCAGACAGAAAGATTAGCAGTTCCCTAGGGTATGGAAGATGAGGATAAGGGGTGGAGAGTGAATACAAAGGGCAGGGATCTCTTTCTGAGATGAAGAAAATTGCCTGAAATTGCCTGTGGTGATGGCTGTGATAACCCAAACCCACTGAGCTCTACTGTAAACAGGCTAATTGTACGGTATGTGCATGTTTCCCCAATAACGCTGTTACAGAAGAACCCAGTGAAGGCCTCACAGAGCATAGCTCCCATCTTCAGATTCTCTGCATAGGTCCTGACAGCTGCAGAGAAGCTTAGGGCATCAGGGGAGAGAGGGCTGTGCCTGAGTTAAAGACATCCTCCCATTCAGTGGCAGAGCTGGGCTAGAGATCCTCTCCTGACCTCCTCCTCTGGTCATAGCCATGTGTTCAAGTGTAACCAGAAAAGGACTGTGAGAAATCAACATCATGCTTGCTTCCTTTCCTATTTGGCAAAGGCTTTCCTCCCTCCACCCGAAGGCTTCTTGAGAAGAGGATAAAACACTGTAAAGAAGGATACCCCTTAAAGGGAGAGACAGGCCGCATACTGCCCCCAGCCTTCCCCCCAGCAGCATAGGAGGGTCTCTGTGCTCCAGAAAATCCTTACTCTGTACGTACTCTGTATGTTTGGGATTCAGTCACACTTAGCTCATCAAAACACTGTTTTCGCAACCACCATTTGATGTCCAAGAAACCCTGTGGGCCTCATAAGGTTTAAAAAAATTTTTTTTATTTGAACCAGAGAACTGAGCTTTGCCAAGAGCAAATGGAACTCAGATATCAAAAGGTCTGAGTTCAGTTTTCACTGAAGACAAAGGGTGAGTAGATTGTGAACCGAGCCAAATGCGCTCTCCCACCCTTAATTTACAGTACATTGTTTTGGCAGACTCTACAATTCTGAAAGTTGGCTTTCTTCTCCCATTCCTCTCTAGGGTGTAACCATAAGCCTATCTTTTAGTTAAGTTTACGAAAGAGAGAGAGAGAGAGAGAGAGAGAGAGAGAGAGAGAGAGAGAGAGAGAGAGAGCGAGAGAGCATATTATATGTTTGTGAGGACCTCACTCATCATAGTTCCTATAGCTGTCAATTTCATTAGAGCACATAGAAACATTTGGAAAAGTCAAAAATCTTCTCAGAAGCTGTATTTTCATTTGATCTACTGCAAGGATTTTATTTTCAAAGTCCCTTCAGGTGGAAGTTTATTGAAGGAATTTTTTGCCATAGCCCCCTCAGTACATAGTCAGGATATTAACCTGTTATTAACTCGAGTCCTGAAGAATCACTGTTTATTGGAATGCTTAGGTTTGGAAGATAAAAATTTCTTTCGCTTTGCCTCCCAAAGAGAAAGGCAGAATGAGGAGTACTTACATATATATATTTTCCTTTTTTTTTTTTTTTTTTTTTTTGCCTAAGTTTTTATCTGTGTTTTTTTTTTTTTTTTTTTTTTGGCAGCAATGGAGATTGAACTCAGGGCCTTGTGCACTCAAGGCAAGCACTCTACCACTGAGCTAAATTCCCAACCTTTTACTTACCAAAAAAAAAAAAAAGTCTGTGTAGGTGTGAGTATGTGCCACTGGGCGTGTGTGGAGGTCAGAGAACAACTAAGAAGGTTCATTTTTTCCTTCCATCAGGTGGGGCCCAGGGGTCAAGCGCAAGCTGTCTGGCTTTGAGGTCGATTGCTTTACTCTATGAACTATCTTCCTAGCCAGAGATAGGGAAAAAAAACCCAAAAAACAAAACAAAGAAACAACAACAAAAAAGAAAGAAAGACAAGAAAACAGAATCTGTTTTAGTTTCTGTCGTCCCAAGATAAGCTCCAAGGCACTAGAGATCATTTTGCTTTTATTCTGAAAAAGCATTTGCACTATAACTGTATCTAAATCTACAGCTATGTGTTGTCAAAAGAGATATTATATTGTTTTATAATATTTTTTCATTTGTTAGTCCACAGTTATTGAATAAAGCTGTAATTAGTCATGTATAAGATCCAACTGTGCAAGTGATAATTGAAATGATTCAGTAAGGAGTCTTTTAATTAAAAGTGACAGAAAACCCATGTCAAAATGACTTAAGAACAAGAGGAAATTTTTTGGCTCACATCTGAAAGGTGTAATGGGAGATGTGGTCCAAGGCCCAGCAAGACTCAGGGCTCAGGTGCTGTTATGAAGTCTGTTTCTCTCCTCTCCCCTTGGTCCTTCTGCTGCCTTTGTACCATTGGAAGGTCGCACGCACAGCCAGCAGCAGCTCAGGATCCAGCAGCTCAGGATCCAGCAGCTCAGGATCCAGCATCTCAGGGTCCAGCATCTCAGGATCCAGCATCTCAGGATCCAGCATCTCAGGATCCAGCAGCTCAGGAGCCAGCATCTCAGGATCCAGCATCTCAGGATCCAGCTGCTCAGGAGCCAGCAGCTCAGGATCCAGCATCTCAGAATCCAGCAGCTCAGGATACAGCAGCTCAGGAGCCAGCAGCTCAGGATACAGCAGCTCAGGATACAGCAGCTCAGGAGGCAGGAGCTCAGGAGGACCAGCCTCTGCTGTTGCCCGGCAGGCAGAGGAGAGAAGGTCCCATTCCAGCCTTATCATGCAAACCTGACTGTTTGTATTGGTCCTTCAGCAATCGCTGTGCCTGTGCCTGTGGGTTTGCGTCTGGGTCACACAGCACTCCCTGGGATTCAAATGTCTCGCCTGGACCACACAGACTGTAAAGAAAAGAGGGAGGCTGGGCTCCATGGACAGCACGGTTATTGGAGTGAATGGTGGGCGGCCCAACACCAGTCTACAAAACACATTTGGACTTTTAGAACTCACTTTATGCTAGTTTTCTAGAACTTTCATAACAGACTGCCATAAATTGGTGCCTCAAAACCCAGAAACTTATTATCCCAAACTTTTGGAATCTGGACATGTAAGATCAAGGTATCTATGGGGTCACTTAATTTTTTCCTCGAGGGAGAATCTGGTCACACTTCTCTCTTGGCTTTGTGTGGCTCCTGGCAATGTTTGTGCTTGCCTTGTGGATGCGTCACTCTGATCTCTGTCTCCATGCTCTCATGGCATTCTTCCTGTACACACCGTGTGTCCAGATTCCTTTTAAAATTAGTCATATTGGAATAGAAACCTGTCTGTTCTGAAAGGATTCATTTTAATTAATCACATGCCCAAATAAGATCAGAGGAACTGGGAATAATCTATGATTTCTGGGGTGGGGGTGGGGTAGGCACAATTCAATTTATAATGCTTTCACACACTTCCTGTTTCTGTTTCCATCTAAGACCCATCTGAGCTGAATTCAAACGCTACAACCAGTCACTTCCCTCTTTCAACTGAGCAGGCTAGCAATTTGGATGAAGCCACTTCAAGGGCCCCTTACCTAGAACCTGTGGTGATATTTTGTTGTATTCTAATAAAACTTGCCTGAAGATCAGAGGACAGAGCCAGCCACAGACTGGACTACAAGAGCTTGATCCAGTCTGGGAGAGAAACAGAGCCAGGCAGTGGTGGCACACTTTTTAACTCCAGCACACGCCATTAATCCCAGAACCAAGGAGGTTGAGATAGGTGAAATGGCTGGGCGGAGAAAGGCATATAAGGCGTGAGGAGACAGGAACCAGAGGCCCTTTCCGCTGAGGACTCAGAGACATTCAGTCCGAGGATTTGTGGAGACAGGATTGGCTGAGGAGTTGGCGAGGTGAGAAGTGGCTGTGGCTTGTGTCCTCTGATCTTTCAGCATTTACCCTAATATCTGGCTCTGGGTTTTTATTATGTGACCATTTAGGATTCAGCAACAAGAACTTGTTGGTTTTGTGTGTGAGAGCTAAGAACATCCTAATGCCAGAATGTACACTATAATTTTCATCACGTATGAGCTCAAAAACTTTGGGCAGTGAACTTGCCTTCTGAAAACCTCAGTCTTTGAATATTTTACTATTGTAAAACGTGCACAAATAGTCTCTTGGTTCACTGGGTTGTCATAGGCTAGACAGATATCGATCAGTTTGTGTCAGTGTGCCTACCTACAAAGACTCGAGGTCTACAGACCCCAAACCACACTTAACCCTTCCTGCTCTCACCCTCTGCAATTATTCTCAGAGTTTTCTTCCTGGGATTTCCCCAAAGAACTTCAAGACCACGAAGGTGGCTTTGCTGTCTTGCAAACAGGAATTCAAGTCTAGTTCAGGGAATACCCAGTGTTTCTTTCTCTCCCCTCTAAAGCCAGACATAAATTCTGAGCCAGCTCCTTTCTCCTTGGCAATACGTCTATGAATTGCTCCATGTCTTTTGGTTTCACTTATAGCTCCTCCTGGTAACTGGTTTTCTCTCTTGCTATTCTTTTGGGTGTGGGCAGGAGCCAGTCACTTTGTTTACAGTCTCCTTTTGGCTCCATAAACTTGAGGAAATGAACAGACATGCTCTACCACATACCTTCTTTTCTGGCTTGTCTAGGTGCTCACATGAACTGGAACTTTCAGTACTGGAGGATAGCAGAACGACACAGGTGTATTAGGACTTGGGGGGCACCCATCAGCTTTAAAAAATGTAATTTCAGTTAGTGCCAGGTGTTGAGATAAGCACTAGGGACATAACAAAGAATAGGAGAGCCACTGTCTCTGCTTCTGAGAAGTGTGCAATCTGGGGACATTTATTTCTGCAGAAAATATGTGAGAATTTATTGAATGTCAGCTATTGCTCATTTTTAAACAGAAACAACTCCTGTATTGAGGGTTATGGTATGTCTGTAGGGTTAGAGAGAAAGAGGGCAGAATATATTTTTAAAAGATAAAGTCATGTGAAAAAATGGTAAAAACTGTGGGAAAAATAGCAGGCTCAGGGAGACTGGATGTGTCAGAGGGAGTTTACAGCTTTAAGCAGGTTTCATTGAGGTTGTGGCACTTGGAGGAAGGGACCATGAGTGTGTTCAGCCTTTTCAAGGATATAGAAGGCCAGCAGTGAGAGGTGTGAGCTGTGATTTCATCCTGAATGAAATGGGGAATGTCTTAGTTTCTTTTTTCTTTGCTGTGATAAAATATTCTGACAAAGGAATTTGAGCGGTAAAGGCTTTATTATTTGACTTACAGTTCCAGGTTATAGTTCATCATAGCAGGGACGTCATAGTGGACAAAGATTGAGAGAACTGGTGTCATTACATCCATAGTCAAAAGCCCGGAGCTCATTTCCACCGATTTGTATTGTCTAGGATCCTCTGCCTAGGGAGTGAGTGGTTCTACCCACAATTAAGATGGGTCTTCCCATGCTAATTAACACAATCAAGACAATCCTCACAGATAGATGAGAGGCGTTTCTCTCAGGTAATTCTAGAGCCCATATAAGTTGATTACAGTAAACACCACAGGGAACCTCTGGATAGGATTGTTCTGGTGGTGGATGTGATGTCATCAGATAGGTGACAGGTAGAGATGATGAAAAGTCGGTGGGTTAGAGACCTATTTTGAAGCCAGGACCAATCGGATTTTGGGCAGATGGGACATGGGCTGGGAAAAAGGCAGACATCACTTCAAGATTTTTGCCCTTTAAGGGCATGGAACAGCCACTGACTGAGATGAAAAAGCCCTATTTGGAGAACGTTTTTGTGTATGGGGTTAGGGCTTTAGGTTTGGACGCTTTACCGTTGAAGGGCTCAGTCGTCACCTAAGTGAAGTGAGCAGCAGGTTTTGAAGCTGTTTGAACAAAATCATTTGGGTGACATCTCTAAGGTCTCAGCAAGTTATATCCGGATCCAGGGTCTCCAGGACCCTAAAACAGGTTCTTACAGAGCTGGTCACGACACGCTAGTCTTAGCTGACCTGAAGGCTGGAACATACCTGGGAAGCACTGCAGTCTAATTAGCTGGCAAAACTCTCCTTCCTCTTTGGGGAGGAAGAGAAGCGCTGTCGCACGGCAGCAGCTCGGCGCCTTCTTCCCAACTGGTTGCAAAGGGCACCACCCTCTCCCAGCAACAGCAGCCTGCAGGGGTTCGGAATTCTGAAACGTGGCCACGCCCCCTCCAGCAAGGGGGCGGAGCCTGAGAGTGGGGCGGGGTCCTGCGTGAGCACGCCACAGAGGGGGGCGTGGCCTGCCCGGTGCGCGCGCCTTGCCGCCGGTGATCAGCTGGTCTGCGCTCCCCTGACGTGGGCTAGGGCACGTCACCGCCGAATGGCAGCCTCCAGAAAGCCACCGCGAGTAAGGTGAGGGGACTGTGCCGGCTGGCCGGCGTCCGGGCGCGCGAGCTGCACACCCGGGAGGGTAGGGAAGAGAGGGCGAGGAGCGGCGGGCCCGCGGCCGTCGGGGGCTGGCCAAGACTGGCGGGAGCCTTCCGAGCTGGAGCCGGGGATCGATCCGTGCAGCCGGGCAGGACTCAGCTCGCTTCCGGCGTGGCCGCGGGCACCTCCGGGCGGCCGGATCCCGTCCTGGGACCCGGGCGGGCCGCGATCTTCACCAACCCCGACCCGGAGGGAAGGCCCTGCTATTGCAGGAAGTTGGTCCCTCTTGAATCCACCCGGGGTACCCAGAGGTGGTTGTGTCCCTGTCCTCACCCTCCCCTTCCCGCGGCAATCTAAAGTTACAGCAGCCCTGAGCATTCTGATGTCTGCATTTTACCTCTTATCCACCCCCTCCACAGAGACAGGCAGCTGCGGGGCCCTTCCCACACAAATCGTCTCTGGGGCAATATCAGGAAACTGATTGGCATAACCTTCCGGAAAAATCCCACCAGGAACCTGCTCTGGGTGCTCCTTGGACACAGGAAGTGCGAAGATATTTCTCAGCCTCATGTTGAACATGTTTTAGTTGATTCTCCCCCCAAATCAGACACACATAGCTATTAAAAGTGGGAAATAAGTACACAAAGGCCAGAATTAAAACTGTGGTGATCCACAGAGGCTTACCAGTCCTCTAAGACCAGTTGACGCTCGAGTGAACTCATGAGAAACTGCAGCCTGACTTATTTGTAGAATTCTGACCATATTACGCTTGTGTTTTGTGAGTGGACAGATCTCAATCCTACCTTGACTTGGACCTGGTTTTGTACGTTAAGTACGACCAGAAATTCACATGTACACTGTGGAGGGGTGTGGGTAACTGTCCACATGGATAGACCTTTCTGGAAGTTTTCTCCTGGAAAAGAAGGTCAGGCAAGTGGAAAATGATGTAATGCCAAAGGCTGAGAGGAAGCATTGAGGACCAGACCGTAGTCATTGCTAGATCCATAGAGTGACAGTATTGGGGGTGGTCTTTGAATGGCAGTTGGTAGGCTGAGAAGGGAGGCCTTTTGTTTCAGGATGCTTTCCTGAAGTGGTAGAATTCCAGTGCCATCCAGTGTACGAGGACTCCTTTCATTTTAGAGGGATGTAAAATGGAGCTGGGGTGGTGTTAGTGAAGCTAAAGCCAGAAGAACCAGGATCAGCATCTTTTGTGCCCCCTTTCACTTCTGGCTCTGGTTTGCTCAGCTCTTGACTGGGGCAGACTTTTTCCTACAAGACTCCTAGGTGGCCAGGCAGTGGTGGCGCACCTTTAATCCCAGCACTCGGGAGGCAGAGGTAGGTGGATCTCTGTGAGTTGGAGGCCAGCCTGGGCTACAGAGTGAGTTCCAGGAAAGGCGCAAAGCTACACAGAGAAACCCTGTCTCGAAAAACAAAAAAAACAAAACAAAACATAACACAACACAAAACAGACTCCTAGACCGACAGTCACATAGAAACAGTCTTACTTCAGCATGGTGAGACTCCTAGGCTCACAGTCATATAGAAACAGCCCTACTTTGGCTTGGTGAGACTCTTAGGCAGACAGTCACATAGAAACAGTGTTACTTCAGCATGGTTGGAGCAGGACTCTTAGATCTTACTCTGACCAGACTTACTTGATTGTAAATGTTATCTGAACTAGTTGTCATGACCAGAGGCGTGTACTAACCAAGCCTGCATCCATGATGTAGCACATCAGTGATGGATACTCATTCCAAGTCTTTGACTGAAATGGAGAAGGTGGTCCTCAGGTCAAGAGGGTGGGCTCCGTGTGGAGGAAGACACCGTTGCCTCCTCTCCCACCCTCACAGCTTCTTCCGTTTGTTTCATTTCATGGAGTGTCGTTGAGCACTTGGTTGTTCTTTGGCCTCAGCTCAAGCATTAGAGCTGTGTGATTCTCATCACAGGCTGGGAATGGAGTTTGGTGCATACCTAGAACTCTGTTGGGATTTCTTTTTAAAATGAGAGGGAGAAAGGGAGACAAATGCATAGTTTTCAGTAGTTCTGGCCATAGCCACCGTACGCAAGGATGGATCAGGGAGTGTTCTGTACACTCCTTCCCACTGAGGTACCTTTTCTTTATGATCTGGAGAAGGTCTAGGCTTCAGAAGTTCTTGGAAGGGGTAGAACACTGAGGAGGGATGAGGACATCGAGAGGCCTGGACTCTGATTCTGTAATACTTTGCTTCTGAATAGTTGAATGGCTTTAATAATCACTAGTTGTATAACTCACCGATGTTAAGGACATTTTTATCTCCAAATGCATTTTTTTTTTAGATTTACTCATTTTTTATTTTGTGTATATGTGTGCATGTATGAGTTTTATGTGTACTTCATGTATGCAGTAGCCCTTTGGGGACCAGAAGAGGGCATCAGATCCCTTAGAACTGAAATTACAGACAGTTGTGAGCTGCCACGTGGGTGCTGAGACCCTAATCCAGGTCCTCTGCAAAGAGCAGCAAGTGGTTTTGACCACTGAGCAATCTCTTCAGGTCCTTTCCCCACCCTGGCTCTTCCTCAGAACTCCTCATTTCCCCAGCATCCCATTGTCTTCAGCCCTTGGCTTCCAGAAGTTTCCTTTGTCTCTCTAGGTTGCCCATTCTGGCCATTCATATAAATAGAATCATACACTGTGTTTTTTTGATGCAGGTGACAGTTTTTCCCTGAGTATAATTTTATCTTTTCACTTTTTCTTTTTATAGTGCTGGGGGTTGAATCCAGTGTCTTACGCATGCTGCATGCTGGACAAGGGTTCTACCCCTGAGCTACACCTATTGTCCTTTGAACAAGTTTTTATGAGGCGATGTTTTCAGTTTTCTTGAGTATATGCCTACCAGTGGAATTGCATGGGTTAGATAACCATATTTCTTTTTCTTTTTTTCCGAGACAGGGTTTTTCTGTGTAGCTCTGGCTATCCTGAAGCTCACTCTGTAGTTCAGGCTGGCCTTGAACTCAGAGAGATCCGTCTGCCTCTGCCTCCCAAGTGCTGGGGTCAAAGGTGTGTGCCACCACTGTCCGGCTCATATTTAATTTTTAAGGGAACTATTGAGTTGTTTCCAAAGCCACAGCACCAGTTTACATGTTGTTAGCAATGCCTGATGGTTCCAGCTTTCTACATCCACATCCATACTTGTTTTTGTCGTTTTTTTTTTTTTTTTTTTTTTTTGTGGCCCGTGCCTTTAATCCCAGCACTCAGAATGTACAGACAGGTGGATCCTGTGAGTTTGAGATCAGCCTGGTCTACACAGTGAGTTCCAGGCCAGTCAGCAACATAGTGAAACCCTGTCTCAGACAAATAAACAAATTATATTTTATGTGTGTGTGCGCGCCTGAGTGTATGTATGGGCAGGAGCCAGCAGAGACCAAAAGAGGGTGTTGGACTCTCTGGAACTGGAGTTACAGGCAGTGTGAGCCACTGTGTGGGTGCTGGGACCAAACCTGTGTCCTCTGCCAGAACATTGAGCACTCTTAACTGCCGAGTCATCTCCAGCCCCTGACTGTGCCACTCTTGTTGGGTGAGAAGTGATATCCTTCCTTTCTCCAGTGATGGGGTAGAACCCAGGGCCTCAAGCATGCTGGGAGAGCCACTTGCTTTCCCCTGGGTGCCAGCTCCAGCCATCATGGCTGTTCTGCAGACTTAGGATGCTCAATGATGTTGAACGTCTTTTTTTTCCTCTCCCTCCCTCCCTTCAGTTTTTTTTTTTTTTTTTCACTTAAGTCTAGGCTGGACTCAAATTCGTGGCAGTCCCCCTGCCTCAGCCTCCTGAGTTTTGGGGATGCATGTGCGAGCCACCACATTCAGTAGTGTTGAACATCTTGTCTGTCTTTGACCATTTGAAGAAAGGTCTTTTCACATTCTTTGACCATTTTCAAATTATGGTTATCTTTTTATTGGTGAGTTGAGATAATTGGGGCCCTTTTGGCTAATCTCAGTCCCTGGTATTACTGTATTTTAGGATCTACTTGTCAGCTTATATATAGAAGCCAGCTGGAATTTTGATAGAGAATGTTCAATCTTATATTAACATCTTTTTCTTTTTGAGACAGGACTCTGTGTGTAGCCCTGGCTTTCCTGGAACTTGCTATGTAGACAAGGCTGGCCTCTAACTCACGGAGATCGACTGGGCTCTGCCTCTGAGTGTACCATCACACCTGGCGAGTTTTATATTAATGATAAGTAAGTCTTCGGATCCATGAATCTGTATATTCAGATTTTATTTAACTCACATGTCACCAATCTTTTGTATATTTTACATTATGCATTTTACACTTTCTTTGCTAAGTATATTAAGTATTTTATTGTTTTTGATGCTATTGAACAGGGATTTTTCTTTATTTCTTGATGTTGAGAGCAAAGGTATGGAAGTATAATTAATTTTTACATACTGTGTCTTTGGTGAGTTCAGTTACTCTAGTTTTTGGTGAGTTCTTTAGGGTTTTGTCTGCTCAAATCAATGGCATTGCAAATAGAATTTACTTGTTTTTTGATCTGGATACATTTGATTCATTTTTTTGCCTGATTACCCAGGATAGAACCACAAATGCAGTATAGAGAGCATTAATTTCTGCCTTGCTTCTTCCTTATACGGCAAAGCATTCAGTTTCCACACATCCTGTAGGTCTAATAGTTAGGTTGGGAAATCAAAAACAATTCACTTATTTGTCTGTGTGTGTGTGTGCACATGTTGAGGTCAGAGGACAACTTAGGGGAGTCGTGTCTGTCCTTCCACTACGTGGGTCCTGGAGATCGAA